AAAATAACAACATATGAACGGTTTTTATACTAAGTCAAGGGCAATAACTCTACAAATACCGGATAAATCCACAAGGCGAACCAATGTGCAAAACTAAATATGCTGAGCAACCTTCTCTAGGGGTTAATGACTCTATGTCAAATCCTTTTTGAGTTACATGCGACACAGTTTTGAAAATTGCAAAAACTGTTCTAAGTTAAGGGCATAAACTCTAAAAATAATAAATAAATCCAGACGAAAAATACCCAGGTGCACAACTACACTTGCCTGATCAACATCATTCCTATAAAGTTTCAGGACTCTATGTCAAATCCTTTTTGAGTAACGTACGACACAAAAGAGAACGGACGGACGGAAGGACGGACAAGGATAAATCTGAATGCCTGCCGTCGGAACTGGCAGTTTGTTGACGATGAACTATCAAAGAAAATAGGCCAGAGTCATAAAAATTTATTCACAGTGATAATGTACACACAATGGAATTATCGGTAGAAACGTTTACAATGGAATGTCTAAAACTGTTCTAAGTGCTTAACCACGTAAACAAACATCACCTCACAAACCAGTCACTGTTAAATTACCACTCAAAAGTGAAATAAATGCGTATTTTTTCAACATAAATTGGCACATGACTCTCCTTAGAAATTTTCTAAAGATATATCACAGTAGTGATTTTTCACGTCGTGTGTCGTTCTGTCTTGTTTGGAGGATGCTGCCAAGGTCAAGTGATCAAACACTCGGAAAGAGTGAACAGTTCTTCTTGCTATATTTCAAACTTATCAGACATGCGAATCAATAGATCTATATTTTTGTTACAGTACAATAATGGTACGCCAGAAATTACTGTTACTTAGCAGGTTTATAAAGTGCAACTTGTCAAAATAATGTGATCAGAAAGATCACTTTTAAAAAGGAATACAACTGACTGCAAGTGAGCTTAAATATGGATGTTAGTTGGCATAAAACTGTCAGTTTTAGGGCATACGGACGGCTGTAAGAGGAGGGTAGCTTCTTTGGAAAGTGACAGTTCGTTGAGGATGAACTGTTTGCAAAACAAAATAAGCCAAAGTACTGTATTTACAACTGAATTATCATAAGAAATGTTTACAATTGAATGTCTAAAGTAACTGTTCTCAATTAACATGCTTAACCAAGTAAACAAACATTAACTCACAAACCTGTCATTGTTAAATTACCACTCTAAAGTGAAATATAACTGCGAATCCTACAGCTTTTCAACACTATTTTGCGTATGACTCTCTTTATAAATTTTTAAAGATATATCACAGCAGTTATATTAAATACAATGTATCTGATGTCACTTGGGATATAGTAGTGATTTTAGTGAGTTAACACGTCATACGTGTGGCTATTAGAGGGTAAATATCTGGTTGTTAATAGAAACAAACAACTTGCTGTAAGAGGGAGATAGATAGATAGATAGATAGATAGATAGATAGATAGATAGATAGATAGATAGATAGATAGATAGATAGATAGATAGATAGATAGATAGATAGATAGATAGATAGATAGATAGATAGATAGATAGATAGATAGATAGATAGATAGATAGATAGATAGATAGATAGATAGATAGATAGATAGATAGATAGATAGATAGATAGATAGATAGATAGATAGATAGATAGATAGATAGATAGATAGATAGATAGATAGATAGATAGATAGATAGATAGATAGATAGATAGATAGATAGATAGATAGATAGATAGATAGATAGATAGATAGATAGATAGATAGATAGATAGATAGATAGATAGATAGATAGATAGATAGATAGATAGATAGATAGATAGATAGATAGATAGATAGATAGATAGATAGATAGATAGATAGATAGATAGATAGATAGATAGATAGATAGATAGATAGATAGATAGATAGATAGATAGATAGATAGATAGATAGATAGATAGATAGATAGATAGATAGATAGATAGATAGATAGATAGATAGATAGATAGATAGATAGATAGATAGATAGATAGATAGATAGATAGATAGATAGATAGATAGATAGATAGATAGATAGATAGATAGATAGATAGATAGATAGATAGATAGATAGATAGATAGATAGATAGATAGATAGATAGATAGATAGATAGATAGATAGATAGATAGATAGATAGATAGATAGATAGATAGATAGATAGATAGATAGATAGATAGATAGATAGATAGATAGATAGATAGATAGATAGATAGATAGATAGATAGATAGATAGATAGATAGATAGATAGATAGATAGATAGATAGATAGATAGATAGATAGATAGATAGATAGATAGATAGATTTTCGGAAAGGACTGTTCGATGAAATGAACTGTTTGCTAATGAAAATAAAGCCATTACTAAAAATAAATTATTGATAATTTAATACACATTTCCAATACAGAACGTTAGAGTCAAATTTTTAAAAATTTTTCACTATGATTTTTTTGATTGAAGAAAAGAAAGGCGACGAAAATATGTAATTTAAACCCAAAAATCGTCTTTAATTTACTCAAGATGAGGGTTTTTGCGCTAAAAATGTTGCCCCTTTAAATGGGGGACAACAGAAAAAAATTTGGGACTTAACCCCCTAAAGAATAAAAATTTAGCTGTATGTTGGTTTTTTTTTATTTTCCCCTAAAGTCCTGAAAAAGTGCTCAAAAAAGGGTTCCCTTTAAACCCCCTATCAATGGTCCCCCCGGAAGCAGCGGCGGACGCCGGGGGAAATATAATAGTCCGAAAATTTTTTCAGGCAATAAAAAAAGGCCATCAAAACATTGGTCTTAAAAAGAATTTCACGTACATCTAAATTTTGATGCTGTTCCATTGAAAAATGATTAAAATTATTTTTTAAAATTAATTTTTATATAATATATTATATATATATTATATTTATATTTATATAATTATATATAAAAATTTTATATTTATATTTTTTATAAGTAAATTTGTAATTAAAAATCTTCCCTTTTAAAAAAATTTATATACAAATTATCTTCCCTTAAAACCCTTTTTTCTCAAGTTTTTTGTAGACGTTGATGTCACTAAAAGGGTCCCCATGTCTATTATAGTAAAAGTTTTTTCATTTCGTTAAAAGAACTTATTTAAAAAAATGTTTGATAGTCTTTTTACAAAAATTTTTTTGAGAAGATTTTAAAACTACTTAAAAGAAATCTTTGTTCTTTTCTGAATTTTCCAGATACGTATATGTCAGATTCATTTAACCTTTCCATAAAAAAAAGCTTGTTTTGAAGTTTGACAAATGTCAAGGTGACATGATAATGACTAAAAAGCAAAGGTCTGATAATGGGGGAAAATATTTAAAAAAGAAAATTTGCATTTTTCCAGAACTTTGAAAATTTTTGGTACAGCAGAAGAAAGATGATCTGTTGATTTGTTGGATGGTGTCCAGATTGTCAGTACAGTTTACAGCCAAAGTGTTGGGCAATAATCTGTATAACATTGGAAAAATGGAGGGCGCTTCCTGCAATTTGGCTTTCCAAAGCGCAGTTGATGTTAATATTACGGCATGTAAAGTACGAATCTTGTGTGTTTCAATTTACTACGTTATGGGCACAGACACCATTGTTCAGTAAGCTTATTTTTGTTTTGGTCTTCGTTCCTTAATATATTTCCTTTTTACACGAAAGATCATGCAAAAGTATGGTAAACTCAAACAATTATTTACTTAAGATATGAAATTGATAGGTGTTTCCATGTTACAAATCATACAAAATCCAGGTTTGCAATCAACTGCAACAAGTTATGCGGGGATAAATTATTGAGTCTTGCTAGCTATATAAATAAGCAGTTCGGAAAATAGTTATTAACTAAGAACCAAACTATATGTCCAAAAGAAAGACATCTCCTCTTTTCCCCTTGGAGCGAGCACGTCGCTGAGGGCATTGGCCTTGAGTTGAAGAAAAAAGACAAAAACTTGAATCGCGGACCAACTACCAGTAACCTGACGAGAGGTCGGAGAGGAGTGGCCCTTTAAGTAGGCAAAGTCAACCTGGATGGTGCACTAGGGTGCGTGAGCCCCTAGTACGAATGACGGCTTAAAGGCTGTCACCTTGCTTGGCAGAAACAGCCAAACGTCACTAGTGACGTCGTACATTATCAAGTTATCATATATATAGTATTCGTGCTGATAAATTATTTTGATTTAAGAATAACTGAAGATAGAAAATGTTGATGAGTTTAGATTTTACAACAACAACAACAACACATGAGGGAAAGAAATTCATAAATTATATCAATGGTAAAAGTTTTCATATGTATCAATACTTGAATTGGAATTCAGGACTATAAAGGCAAATTCCAGGCCTTCAACTTTAAAAATCCTGAGCGGGTAAAAATTAAAAGAAACAAGAATGAAGAAACGACCAAATTACAAAGAAACGACCAAATTACATGTTATCTTAATACTGACATTAAGTCATGTGCACAAATCTTCACTTATTGATATTGATAATGCAGATTCTGAGACAATCAAGTAATCAGAAATATTTCACAATCTATATAGGAAATATAGATCTACGTACAAATATACATCGATCAGGCAGATTTCATGCCAAAAGAGCGAAGTATATGCCTTAACTAAAAATACTGACTAGATTTCACTGTCAAAAGGCACATACAAAATTTCTTGGAAACAGCGTTATTATATATCAAGATAATGAAATCTTTAAAAAGTTACAAAAAGTAACGACGCATTCTTATGTTTGACAAGCCCGTTTGAAATCAAGCCAGTGCGGAAGTGAAGAAAGTAGTGATACGCATGTCTCAAATATTTTCGAGACGATTGCTCGTATGGGGAACCAAGCTACCATGTCATGTGATGCTGTAAATCAAAGTTTGACCAACCCTTTTATGCTTTTTTGACCAGCATGAATCAAAACAGCAGGATGTGGCTAATTTGAAAAGGGCGGCACCAGAGCTGAAATCTGTGAGCCCATGAAAATTTTCCAGAACCAAGACGTCAAGTAATGCCTTTTATTTTCGCTAAAAATGTTAATAATTCAGGAATTTCTATTGTTTTGTCAGATTATAAACATACAAATTAAATTTCATATATTATGCAATAGAGAAGAATTATAGTTTTATTGTACAACTTCAATTACTTTAAATTAGAAATATGTTTCTAAACAAATCTGGGGCCTATAAGGGAGATTATGTGTTGGATGAAATTGATTGATCTACGAGACTTACCTTATGTTTCAGGTTGGTCATAATTTCATCCATCACAAATCTCCCTTAGGGCTCACACGCCCATCCATCCTTCCCGTTTGATTCCTGCTTAAATACCTTTCTTGCACGCTAGAAATCATTCTTAAGTATGACCGAGCTTGGGGGTTGATGTTGCGTCGGTAATCTGTGTGAGCCCCGAGGGAGATTTGTGCTGGATGAAATTATGATCAACCTTCAACTTACAGGTGAGTCTCGCTTAATGAGATAACCTTACAGGTAAGTGCACACACGGTTATTTAGCAGTAAGAATCATCGTAGTCCAATGCAAGTTAGGCAGTAATTTAAAGAATAATATAATCGTAATGAGTGTCATTATCTATGAAATTACATAACATTAACAATCACATAAAACAGAAATTATGTGACTTGGGTGTTCGACAGTAACAATATTAAGTAGCCATAACTTTCAATTTTATCCTCTCTAAACAATTGAGAGTTCATCTACTCATAATATCATCCACAAACAATAGAGACCAATGCACAAAATGCTTATAAATGTAATTAAGAAGTGCTCAAAAGGTTAATAAGCCCTATGAATCAGCATATTCCTGCACAAGTAAGATGGTAGTAAAAAGATACAATAAAACTGATATAATCCTATTGGAATGTAATTGATTTGGAAACTACATGACAAGCAAATAAAACAGATCATGTAAATCATGGTAACTTATCTATTACTTCAACTATTGTAACATCACTGGTTGTTAACTCATTTAATGAGCAATCAGATGACAAATATATGAAAAAACATAATTACAATATATAAAACCCAAAACTTAATTATTCAAAGGCAAACTGAACACCATCATTTCTTCACCTTTTTTTGTAAGAACCTACAATCATATACTTGTATCCTTCTCTGATTACATCAGAAGAATCACAAATCTTGAGAAGACTGGATAGTTTTGGAAGGCAAGGCGCATTGTTCAAATTATAACTCACTTATTTCACATTTGTTGTTGTTGTTTGTTTTTGTTGTTGTTGTTTTTTATGACAAAAAAATATTCAAATGCAAATTTTTTATCACTATAATCATTGGTATATTTTATATCTTCTGAAAATGCCATTTTTAACGTTTCTTTAACTCTATCAGCAAAGAATTCTTTAATGTAACCAGTGCAGACCAAGAAGTGCCATCTGATCATGGACTGCACTACTTGTTATTAAGTCTTTTGAAAATTTCCACCCAAATTTATGAAATGTTTTTTTCCTGGTTGAAAGATGGACAAGTGCAATTCACATATTTAGCATGTAAGGTTAATTGTTATTATAATGCAATACAATCCTTTATGATGAACACAAGCCTGACTAAGTCTAAATGCTACATCATATGTTGTAGTTGCATGGAAAATATTTTAACATTAGGTTACATCATCTTACTTGACTGATTGGCAAATTGTTCTTATAACAACAAATATCAAATTTTAAGATTAATTAATGTAAAGAAGTGAGATTTTGAAGTGAAATAATGCCCATCCAGCTATCAATGTCATATAATTATTATCCGTAAAATTTAACTTTGATTGTTTTCAGTTTCATTGTTTTGTAATCAATAACCAATGTGATCTGTATATTTCCTGCGGAACTGACCAGTAATCAAAATATGTGGTACAGTCCTTTAAAAAGTTTTTTTCAAATAATTGTTATTATCAAATTTTGGTAAACAAACCATCATTATAAAAGACATTTTTTTTAAAAATACTTAATTCAGATTAACAAGAAAGAAAATGGGCATAGTGTTGCCTAAATGCAAATATGGCACTAATGCTTTGCATAGTAATGATATTCATAATTTATCTAACATAAATGTATCAAAATTGTAAAATATAAGTCAAGCTACAAACATAATTTTGGAGTAAAGCATCACATCAAATACATTTCAATTAAACAATATATAATGCGTATTTATCACATGTACCATCTTGAAGAACCTTCCTTTCAAAAATGTTGCTCTGATACAAAATCTTCTTTTAAGCATGCATTTGTATGTACATATCTTTATCACCAGCTAATCACTATTTGCTCTTTATATTTCATGATTACCAACAATTGTTGCCATAGCAACATCACAAAAAAATCCAGCATGCATATAAACTATAAATCATACTAGTAGTAATCCTTCTCATCTTTTTATACTTCTCTTGTGAACATTAACTTGTATGTTGGAATATTTTCTACCTTTGTTACCATGGATACCATTGGGGATGAGTTTCTGAAGTAACAAAGACTTGGTCTTGTTGCTTGAAGGGACATCATCGTGTCTTGGATGCAATATATTATTATCACTAGCATCTGAAAAAATCAAACTTTTAATCAAAGTAGAAGCCAGGGATTTTCTTTAAAAATATATCAAAATATAAAAGTTGATCTACCAACAGTTTAAAGTCAGGTTAATACAAAGTAGTTTTCTAAGAATGCAATTGTTGATTTTAGATTCATGAATCATATAATAAGAAGAGGATATTGAATGAGTGTATATTTATTACTACATTGTAAATTTATCGAACAAGTTGACTTATATCATATTATATGGGCCTCCTGCAACATATAAATATTGTTTTATTGAAATTTATTCAATAAGTTTAATAAATACAATATTGAATCTACATGAAAATAATATTCAGTTTATTACATATATAAAATTAAAGTGGTTTATGGGTAAAAGAGAATAATTTTTCATTTACAAAACTATGGTAACAAGAGGGCCAAGATGGCCCTAGATCGCTCACCTGACCCATCAAACTCATCCAAGCAATTACCTAGACAAGCATTCTGACCAAGTTTCATGACAGGTGAGTCAAAATTGTAACCACTAGAGTGTACCAAGGATTTTCTATATTTGAGCAGTGTGACCTAGTTTTTGACCTCAGGTGAACCATATTCAAAATTGACTTAGAAATCATCAAAACAAACTTTCAGATCAATTTCCAGGATATTTGGATGAAAACAGTAGCCACTAGAGTGTTAACAAGATTTTTCTATTTTTAGCTCCTGTGACCTAGTTTTTCATTAAAGATGACCATAACCGAACTCATCCGAGCAATTACCTAGACAAGCATCCTGACTAGGTTTGATGATGATTGAGTCAAAAATGTGACCAGTAGAGTGTTAACAAGGTTCTTCTATTTTTAGCTCCTGTGACCTAGTTTTTCATCCGAGATGACCCATATTTAAACTCATCTTGGCTAATACAAAGAAAAGCATCCTGGCAACGTTTGATGATGATCGTGTCAAAAATGTGACCGCTAGAGTGTTAATGAACATGTGTGGACGGACAAGGGACATTTAACGATCCTAAAAGCTAACCCTTAGCTAGCTCATGTGAGCTAAAAAGTAACATTAGCATGCTTTAATATTATTAAGCAAAATTTCAGACCATGATGTGCTTATTTGCAAATACCAAAAGTACATGTAGTCCAAACTCCTCGAAGCGGTTAATTCCCTTTATAAGTACACTAACGCCGAAAAATTAAAGGGAAATCACTGCGTAAAGATTGCATTAATTCTCGGGGAAGAAAAAATAGATCCTGATTGATCGAAGATTTCTAATATTGTGTTATTCTTTACAGATGAACATGCTTATATTAAGCTCCTTGATTATTTACATCAGTGTTAAACAACAGGTTTACCGTGAAATTAATAAGGGTTACCCTAATTTAGAATAATGTGGTTTTCTTATCTTAGAATATCACTGTGGTCAAGGGGTTACACGCTCGGTTAGTAAGCGAGAAGTTTGGAGTCTAATTTTTTAATCCCAGTTAAGGTAACTTTTTTTTTAATTGCTTAAGCCAAATAAACATTGAATCAAATATCTGTGTTGCAATTAGCCTTATAGCTAATTTACTACAGTTATAACACTGGACACAGCATTGGTGGCACTATACAAAAACAAGATATGTTTGTAAAACATGTATGCCCCCTATCAGCAGCCAATTAGTCATGTGATAAGGTTATTATGCATGACTTCTGACCCAGTGATCAAACAATTAATAAGGGTTATCAAGTATCTACTGGTCATGACCTTAACCTTTGACCCTTGACCCAAAACTCAATACGGGTCATCTGCTGGTCATGACCAATCATCATACAAAGTTTGAAGTTCCTAGGCCTAAGCGTTTTTAGTTAATTGATCAGAAACCGTTTTTACCTACAAGGTCAATGTGACCTTGACCTTTGACCACTTGACACCAACATCAATACGTCATCTGCTGGTCATGACCAATCACCATTACCAAGTTTGAAGTTCCTAGGCCTAAGGGTTCTTTAGTTATTGATCGGAAACCGTTTTAACATACAAGGTCAATGTGACCTTGACCTTTGACCCAAAAATCAAATAGGGGTCATCTGCTGCTCTTGACAATCACCATGCCAAGTTTGAAGTTCCCTAGGCCGAAGCGTTCTTAAGTTATTGATCAGAAACCGTTTTTACTTACAATGTCAATGTGACCTTGACCTTTGACCCCCTTGATCCCCAAAATCAATAGGGGTAATCTGCTGGTCATGACAAATCACCATGCCAAGTTTGAAGTTCCTAGGCCTAAGCGTTCTAAGTTATTGATCAGAAACCGTTTTTACTTACAAGGTCAATGTGACCTTGACCTTTGACCCCTTGACCCCAAAATCAAAAGGTCATTTGCTGGTCATGACCAATCACCATACCAAGTTTGAAGTTCCTAGGCCTAAGGGTTCTTTAGTTATTGATCGGAAACCGTTTTTACCTAAGAGGTCAATGTGACCTTGACCTTTGACCCCATGAACCCAAAATCAATAGGGGTCATCTACTGATCATTACCAATCACAATATCAAGTTTGAAGTCCCTAGGCCTAAGGGTTCTTTTGTTATTGATCGGAAACCGTTTTTACCCAAGAGGTCAATGTGACCTTGACCTTTGACCCCTTAACCCCAAAATCAATAGGGGTCATCTGCTGGTCATAACCAATCACCATACCAAGTTTGAGGTTCCTAGGCCTAAAAGTTCTTAAGTTATTGATCGGAAACCGTTTTTGCTTACAAGATCAATGTGACCTTGACCTTTGACCCCTTGACCCCAAAATCAATAGGGGTCATCTACTGATCATGACCAATCACAATACCAAGTTTGAAGTTCCTAGGCCTTAAAGTTCTTTAGTTATTGATCGGAAACCGTTTTTCCTTACAATGTCAATGTGACCTTGACCTTTGACCCCTTGACCCCAAAATCAATAGGGGTCATCTACTGATCATGACCAATCACCATACCAAGTTTGAAGTTCCTAGGCCTTAAGGTTCTTTAGTTATTGATCGGAAACCGTTTTTCCTTACAAGGTCAATGTGACCTTGACCTTTGACCCCTTGACCCCAAAATCAATAGGGGTCATCTAATGATCATGACCAATCACAATACCAAGTTTGAAGTTCCTAGGCCTTAAGGTTCTTTAGTTATTGATCGGAAACCGTTTTTGCTTACAAGGTCAATGTGACCTTGACCTTTGACCCCTTGACCCCAAAAACAATAGGGGTCATCTACTGATCATGACCAATCACCATACCAAGTTTGAAGTTCCTAGGCCTTAAGGTTCTTTAGTTATTGATCGGAAACTGTTTTTGCTTACAAGGTCAATGTGACCTTGACTTTTAACTCTTGACCCCAAAATCAATAGGGGTCATCTACTGGTCATGACCAATCACCATACCAAGTTTGAAGTTCCTAGGCCTAAGGGTTCTTTAGTTATCACTCGGAAACCATTTGGTCTACGGACCGACGGACCGACAAGTGCAAAGCAATATACCCCCTTTTCTTCGAAATGGGGGCATAATAAATTGGTTTTATAATCTCACAACCATCACCTTTCTGACATTCTGAGACCCAAACAAATTCAGCGCCTTGTGCTTTGATTATTAAATGGGTTTATTACACTCCTGCGCCATGGCTTATGTGATAAAATGTACTTACTTATATTTGCATTAATTCTAATATGATTTCCAACTGACTGCATCTTATCATCAACAACTCCAGGTGGGACATCGTTGGACTTCATTGCATGTGGTGAGGGGCTCAAAACTGGAAAAATATTTATATAATTAGCTGTAAATAATAGAACATATGAAAGCGGTGATTCTTAAACCAGTCAGCTTCACAAAAAATGACAAAAACAAAGAATTTAGTAGGGATTGGCATTGCAATTTTGAATTGCCAATGCTTATGTTTTATACAGAATCATGTATCTAATTCAGTGCTTCCTGCTCAAAATACATACACCATGCTAAATAATTATAAAATATTGTTTCTTACTAAATATGCATCATTATGAACTTAAATTTACCACTGTAGGTGTAAATTCTTTTTGTTTATATTAGAATCTCTCTTGCTAGCTTACAGCCAGTACAATTAGAAAATTATGCATGAAAGGGCACCTAAGATCTTCCTCTTCCAGTTAAGCTGGAATTATCACAATCATCATCTTGTGTTTTTCCATTTACTTATTTGACATGAGGTCACTTTCTCAGTGTGAATTGGAAAATATTTTAAGCAGTAGAATTTTGCCAACTACACAGAAAAAATAGCCAAACAATGAATTCTACAAACTTCATTTTGATTTTTTTTAAGGGACCTTTAAGGGAAGAAATCACCATATTGCAACAGACTATTTTTTAAAACGTGAAGATAGAATTGTGATTCATTCATAAAACAATAGCTGTAAAAAAAAATCAAGTTTATCTATGCAGATAAGTAAATTTGTTTTGTTGGATTTTAAGTCTATCAGACACTATAAAGGTCATTTGGTGACTTTCCAGCTTAACTGGAAGAGGAAGACCGTAGGTGCCCTTACATGCATAATTTCTTGAAAAAGTCTGCACCCGGATGAACCACTGTACTGGCCATAAACTAGCAAGATAGATTCTAATATAAACAAACAGAGTTCAAACCAACAATGGTAATGTTCAAGAAAATTGAAGTCCCCAACCAAAACAACATGGCAACAGAGGCCCCAATACAGTGGATTTTTAATTTGTACAACAGATTTGATTTACTTTTTCTGAAATTCAGTGAATCAGGACAGTTTAAATGTTAAACAACATGATTGTTTAATTAAGAAATAGCTATGATTCATAATGTTACAGAAATTAAAAAGTGAACTTACATGAGTAAATTATCACAGTGAAATGAATCACAAAGAAAATTATCGCAAGTTTTGGGAATATCTGTACCAGCCTAGCTATAGGTTGTGGTGAACAAAACAATGAACAATGTCTTTTCCCCGCCATGTCTATGATGATGGTGTTTCAGTAGTAGATAACTGTTTCTATTTACCAGACAGCAGTAAGAATCATCTCCTGAATAAAGAAAAAACATCCATGATAATTATGAGAGATAACTTTTCTAACACAGGCTTGCAGTTATGAACCATAATAATGTAAATTTTACCCCTTAATCTGCTAAGCTTCTTTAAAGGACTTGTCAAGCTTCTATTTTTGTAACTGTCCTACATCAAATTTAAGGTATCAAGAATCTGATGAAAAGTTAAAATAAGTAAACTGCCCATTTTTGTTGTTGTACTTTTTGCATCACGCCAATGTGTAGTCAAAATATATTGACGTGCCAAAGCTTGATTCTGAGATATTTTCGTTCTGGGGCAGAATTTCACTGTAGAGGCAAGATATTGCCCAGACACGAAAATAGCACAATATCTCGTCGCGGAGTACAATTAGTTGGACTAGCCAATGTGTTGTAATAATTCCCCCCCCCCTCCTTTTGGAAAATGTTTAGCTCCCGGTCCGGTAAGGGTATAATAGGAATTTTACTGTATTTTGATTTAATTTCAACTGAATTCTTACAACAATTTGTGTAATTTTTTATATGATTTGACCTCTCTTAGTCATGAACTTTATTATCTGTTGATAAAATCGCTATTTGTATTCTTTTAAGGGTAATTAGGAATTACAAAAAAATAATATTCACTTCAAAAGGAAATATTAGGCCTTGTTATATTTAATAACTTGACCAATACTTTGCATTATCATTAACTTAGTCCAACTAAATGTACTTTGCGATGAGATATTGTGCTATTTTGTGTATCTACGTAGAAGTGAGATTCGACCCTGAACAAAAAGCTTCGGTATGTCAATATATTTTGACTATACCCCTCCCGAATACATAAGAATATTATTCTATTTTTAAGTATGAATGTTCATACATGAAGATGAAACTGAAATAAATTCAACACTTAAATTTGGTAACCTATTTTGTGAAAACAGGTGTAAGGCTTCTTTAGGTCTCCTGTTATTATGCATGTGTGTAAAAAGGGGAGATAAATCTGTAGTACATGTCAGTTATATAGGCTTTAGAGTTGTCCCTCTTTATTTAGACTTTTATGTGTGATGGGATAGTTGAGATAATTGAAATGAAATAATGAATTTATTTAGTGTTTAACATACAAATAATCTAATGCCAGTCAAGTTAAATAAACAATTTCAGAATAATTGTTACTGTCAACTATTTAACTTATCAAGCTATAAAATAGTCTAAAATTATTTAAGTATGTCACACATGAAATATCTAATTTAAAGATCAGTAAAATAAAAACCAAGTTTTGAGCAATTTCATTGCCTGTAATTTGTAAATTTTTTTTAAAGGCAATAAATTTGCAGGCTGTCTTTTAGGAAAAAACATTCTTCGTGAAATTTCAGATCACACATAGTCCAAAACCAATTGTAACTGTGCATGAAGATATTGTGATTTTGCCCCTGGGCAATTTATTCTGACCCAAGAAACGAAAAATAGCCTCAGAATCAGTAGCTTTGGCATGTCAATATATTTGACTAGAACACACAAAAATACACAATACATGAAGAACTGGGTTTTATTTACTTTAAAATTGTATTCAGATTCTCAATTGTGAATTAATATTGTATTGAATGTTAAACATATAGTGATAAATCAATGTCTTGATATTAAATTTATATATATACTGTATATGATACACATATGCAGACACAAATACAACTTTAAGGTTAATATAACAAATCCTTTCTTTTAATATTTGAAGTTAAATGAAGTGAGTTACTGGAAAAATTATTTACAGAATACAGTGTAGTGAACAGGTTATCAAAAAAAAAGTTAAACATTTGCCAATAATTTCCTGTCAAATTTAAATTCCCATTTTTAATCCTAAAGCAGATAAACCAGTATTGAAAACCTCAACAAATTTGAATAAATAATTGATCGTTAAAAACGATTATCAAACATACAATTAAAGCAAGAGACACAGTAGAAAGCAAATGTTGCATGAAGGGAAAGGCAACATGTAAAAGTCAGAATGCAAGATGTTTACAAGTTCAAATGCAAGATGTACAAAGTCAGAATGCAAGATGAAAAGTCAGAATTGCAAAATGTACAAGTTTAGAAAGCACGAGGGTAACGTAAAGAATGTAAATTTGGCCGTTTAATATCCTTCTATAAAAAATGCACTGTGACTTGATAATATCTTACAATTATGTAGTCTCACTCAGGTTACTGCCACTGTATTACAAAATACAATGTACATGATGCAGTATTGTATATCATTATGTACTACATAATTTCATACCAGTGTGGAATATGCACAGATATGTAATGTATATGTATCATTTGAATCGTTAGACTTTTTTGGCTTTTTTCCCTGTAGTTTACTTTTTAAATAAAGTTTTAAAGGGAATTTTAAAAATTTTTTTTCAGTAATTATATGGGGTTTCCATTAAAAAAAAAGCACTTTTTTGTTTTTTTAACTGAAAATAATTTGTTTTTTTAAAAAAAACTTTTTTTTAAAAAAATTTTTTATTTTTTTAAAAAGTGGGAATGGTCTATAATGCACAATATACTATCCAAGCCATGCACCAACTGCCTGTAATTTTAATAATTTACTTTTTATTTTTCACCCTGAAACAGATCACTGGTAAACACTTCTAGGGAAATTATAAATGTATAAACGGACAACTAGACAGACAAACACAGATAATAGCTAACTAATTAATTGTACTATACTTCAGTTAGGGCCTTTTTTCACTTACCCTAATTAATACAATTTTATTTTAATATTAACTATGGATGGCTTTCCAAATTTTAAAAGAAAATCCCATACTTTTCCCCGATAACTGCATCAAAATTTTCCTAAAAGAACAAAAACAATCTTCTTTTTTAGACTCAAATTGATAATGTTTAGTAAGATAAGATAGATAATTAAATTAATTAGGGAAAAAAAAGTAAAAATGATTATACCTATATCCATTGCTCCTCTATACTTCATTAAATTTGAATAATTTTCACTTAAACACACTTAAACACTATGCATTAATGACAATTTAACTTAAGATCACTTTTCTGGATGAATGTGCAGCAGTTCATTAAACCTGAATAATTTCAGGCACATGGGACATTTATATATCACTCTGCAGAAAAAGTTGCTTATTTTTTCCCATAAAATAAATCCATGACAAACTATAAGAACCTATCACATTCTAAAATTAAATGAAGTTAATTATTTTCTAAAAACAGAAAAACTCAGGTCCTTTGTTCACTATTGGCGCCTAGCATTATGGGCCAGCTTATCAGCAGTGTTTATTTTTAGTACGCGTGGGTTTTATACTAACAGGAATGAAATACTTGTTTACAAAGAAGGTCAGTTTACTAGGAAATTAGTTACAGTGCATATTATTCATTAATGGACTGCCTGTTTCCATGGCAATGAATATTAAGAAAATGTTATCTTGCTGTCCATCTGGAACACATCAAACCAAACTTTCATCTTGGTGATGACATAATTAATCTTCTGAGATAATCCAAACAAATGTGGCAGCTTATCGATGTCTGGGTTTTTATACCAAGATTAGTTTGCTAGATGGGAACAATGTGAATTAAAAAATTGAACACTAAGTAATTGTTACTTATTGGTATTAAAGTAAGCAGCAAAGAATCAGGCCAGGCTGATACTTTATGTTTCACACCCACAGATTACATAATCTTCATTTAAAATGTCCTTTGTAAAAACAATGCTATCTGTTTCATTTTAATAGAATATAAAAGTAAAAGTCTCACTGTGCAAATTGCTTTCAGAAATGAAAGCAACTGTGAGGAAATATTATGATTTTTGCATACTACATGACCTATATATTTTTTATTGTTGTTGAAAACTTATCAGTTTTGACTGTATACTTGAGAAAAACACAAAAATAAGTTTTCTTCCTCATAAAAGTAACTTTCAGAAAAGCAATATATGCACACTTTGTAAAATGTGTACATGTACTAGTAGGCTCTAATGGCATAATTAAAATGGGGGGGGGGGGGGGAGAGAATCATAGACTGTATTCTGGAGGGGTGGGGCAGGGTGGCAGGTAGAGAATTACCTTGTATGCAGTGAATTTTTACCTCTGGTGGTCCAATTAAACTGCAATAGGTATAATAAGTAAAATATATTAAAGGTAATTAATTTTGTTATGTAATACATATTCACATGTGTTTTATAACAGAAACTTTCTGTTATGAATCTTTTGAACAAGAGCTGTCAGTACGACAGTGTGGTTGACTTTTCTCAGTGCTCTATAGTTAAAACAAGAGCCTGGATAATTTAGAATTTTCTAAGATTGAAAAGGGAGATAATTGTGTCAAAATTTAGGTTGAGTTATTGGCCTTGGACAGTGACCTCCTATTATCCTCTCAAAAAAGGGTGACACATTTTCTTCAGTTAGTTTTAGAAATACCAACTTGCATTCTAAACTTAACCAAAAGTGTGACACTGATGCTTGGGTGAGTACATAATATAGCTCTCCCTATTCTCATATTATTCAAGTTTAATAGACTTAACCATATCATTATGGGTATATGAAGTTGATCATTGTGACATTGTGTACAAAATATTAATGTGATTTATTTAGATTATAGGACATATAGTTCATAAAAGACTCTTTATCAAGTCTATCTTATGTCAGATATTTGCTGTAATAGTGCACCTCATTGAAAATAAACTCTATACACTTAAAATCAATACAGACACATTACACTACAAGATCTTATGCTTAAAATACCTTTTTAATTTGATACCTTTACATTATCACATAACACTTGCAGTATAGCTAAAAATATTTACTTCCTACTTTAATTATTATAAAGATTAAAAATTTCAGACCTAAATTTAATTGTTTATATTCAGAACAGAAGTTAGTGACTTAAAGTCTTTTAAGACAAGAATTTTAAGATGTAAATGTCACAATTAAAAGAAGACTTACTAGTTCAAATATTTAGACGAAAACCACAGATTTGAAGCTATTTTTTACAATGGTCAAATCCGCTTTTTCAACATAAAACTTAAAAAAAAAGAAAATGCGAAGTCTTTCAATGAAAGACTTAACTGAATAAAAAATGAAAATATATAGAATTATAATTCTATCCATATCAAATTTAACAACTGCAATATTTTAAAATTATATACACCTTCCCATATTTAATGGCATGGGCATGAATATTTTTTTTCATAGATCTAGACTTATTATAGCCAGCATTGGTACAGTACAGATCTTATGAAAATAAATCAACACTCAACAATTCAGTAAAGTTTAACTGGTATACATTTTATGCACATCTGCAGTCAATTCCTAGTACTATGCGATGAGGTATTGTCATATTTTATGTATCAGGTCTACAGTACAGCAATATTCTGACCCAGAACAAACTTATTGTAGTACTAGTACAGTAGTGATAGCTTTGGCAACTCAATATATTTTGACTATTCACTTCCCTGTCTTGCACCTCCGTCAGGCCCTCACCCTGCCACCCCCCTCATTTTCACAATATCGGATGTCACTGATATATAGATCTACATGTATGTGAAAGACACTTCAAATAAGTGAACAATGGCAAAGTGACAGCTAACTATAACAAATTTCAAATTATTTTAACTTATAGAAATATGACATATATACAGTACAGTATATAATCTAAATATAATATATACACTGTATTTGTAACACTATACTGTACTGTAAAACAGCACTAACAGTAATGTAAATTTGTTGCTCGATGTACTAATTATCATGATTATAGGCATGCTGCAAAAGAATGCAATCAAATGATTATTGATATGACAATAATTTTTGCAAATTTTAAAAATAATCTTACCTACACATTCTAAAATCATTCCATTACAATGATTACAACAGAAAATGTGGTACACTTTTATTTTACACACCCCGATTGCAGGGGGGTTAAATTGGGGGTTTTTTTTTAAGGTTTAATAGATAGATCTTACTCGATTTTCCGTCTCTTACAGTTTTAATTTAAGCGAGTCTGATAAAAGATAACACACTGTTGGCCTACAGTTCGATTCGCATAGTGTAAATCCTTGCAAGGGCGGTAATCGATAATATGATAATATTGAAAACACGTGCACGATTTCTTTGCATACGTCAAATTGAGCACCGCATTTATCCAAAGGGTATGACTAAAAGATTTTTTTCTGAATTTGATCACGTCAATTCTGGATACTAGATCTAGAGATTAAAATTTCTAGATCTTATATATCTGGGAATATTTTTTTAGCGTTAATTACGATCTAGATTTCGAGTTAAAATCAGACAGTTTCTTATTTAGCTTGTCAATTCAATTTATTTAAAAATTAATTATATTGGTTCAAGATAATATCGAGCGACATTTGCCAACGGACTTAATGTCAACGGGTGTTTAATTTTTTTAAAATTCCCATTCATTCTTTTCAGTAACCACCTTGTAAAAACACATTTAGATTTGGAAAGAGTTTGACATTACAATCATGTAGATCCTGGTAGGGGTGGGTGCGTGGGGATCTAAATAACTAGCATAACAAATTAGTTTGAACTGTTGGAAACATTTTTTCCAACCCAAAGTTTAATATAGAGGAATTTAAAAACATTTATGCTTTGGACCAATGACCCTGGTTTTCAAATGGCTCAAACCTCAATACTGAATAGTCCAGGTAGGACGCAAGATATTACACCCAGAACCCAATATGCAAAAAAATATTTTATTGAATTGCTTATGGCTTTTTTAAAACAATGCACTTTCGGAGGGAAACCTTCGCTCTTCTCCGTTTTTTCCCAAAAAATAATGATATTCTTTTTCGCTTTAAAAATACACCTAAAATAGTCACTCAATATCCGGCTAAGAAATCCACAAAATGATTGATTCATTCTATTTCTTGAGTTTTTTCTGAATAATTGTTGGGTAATCTTTCTGTTTTAAGTAAGCTCCAGGCTGATTTATGTTAAAAAAATTCAAATTTTTGTATTTAAGGCTTTCCCAGGTCTTTCAAATAGAAATAGAAAGACTCTTGGTCATTGGACTCAGTGGAAGTTCCCTTTAAGATATGAGATATAAATTAATAAAGAATAATTTTTATTGATTTTAAAACAAAGGATAAAAATAATATGGTGATTGATTTTTAATAGAATTAAAGCTCGACAAGAGGCATGTTTTTTAGAACAAATATTAGTTTTAATTTTAGTAAAAATATCTAGATGTTATAAATATACGTAATACAGACACGGATTTATATTGTTAATATAAATCCGTGGTACAGAATAGCCTCCTAGCCGTTTACGCCATGTTCATTATCATAGATTAGCTGTTAGGAATCCCGGAAGGCCCGGAGAAAAACCCCAAGAAATGTGTTTCCTTTTAATGAACGAATTTGTCATATAGTAATACATTAGGAAGAATGAATACCATTTTGTACTTGTATGTAATATTTTTAAAAGAACTTCGTTAAAAATATATCAAACAAAAATCAAAAAAAAAAAAATGAGATACATATTGAGAACCCTAGTAAATTTTTTTAAAACTTATTTTCTTATGAATTACAGAAAAAAAGTAAAAATTCGTAATTAAAAGTAAGGTTAGGTTTTAATAAATTTATTTAACAAAAATAATTGGTTTCAAGCCTTTGCCGCAGGCAAGGCGACCAATTATTTTTGTAATGATTTTAAATTAAACATTAAACCTCATTTAAAAGTCAACATTATTTTTTTTTTTCACAAAAACAAGGCATTTCTTCTAAATCACTGATAGTCCTTCCCTTTCGCCTCTAACAAGATGCCTACACCTTTCAAGTTTCAACATTTTACTATTTAGATTTAAAGCAGCCTCTTAAATCTTAAAGGCCCTTTCAAACTATTAATCAGGCAAATTTTTTATGAAATGGTCACAGAATTTATACCTTTAAATCTTACGTAATTACAGTAGGTAAAAAGCAATTTAAATTAATAAAATGTGTTAACCTCCTTTTAAAAAAAATGGAAAATGTGAGAAAAAATACATAAAGAGTTATTAATTTATTTGTTTAAAACAGTTTACAGGTTGGGAGGGGGTCAGTTTACAATGATTTTCCAGCCAAAAATGTAATCATTGTATTCTTGAATATCATTGGATTGTTAATGGGCGTTAATTTCCTATCAAGTGGAAAAAAAATTTTTTTGGTTTACTTTTTCTAGGAAACATAAAGTTAAAACGTCAGCAATTTATAAACAGATATTTTTATTTGGAGTTAAAAAGGATTTTAAATAAGTTACTATGTTTTATTTGTCTCTGCGTGCCCCAATTATTATTATTTAATAAATCATTTGGGTTTTGTATCCTCACATTTAGAAAAGGCCCTTATTTTTTTTAACGTTTGGATTGTTTTGCTAACCTTTTAATTTTTCCAATTTCAGAGTGCAAACCACACCTCTAAACCTTTCCCTAATATAATGCATTACTGAAAAATTGGGTTAGATAGTTAGACGACAATTAAAGTAAATTTTTTTAGTTAGTACACATTAACCCAAAGTTAGACTTAGCAGAAATTTTGAAAAAATACTACAAATGTTATTTTGGAACAAAAAATAATGTATCATTAACAGTATTACGCGTATCATGCTTTTTATTAAAGTTCAGCCCAACAGATCGATTCACTGTAGAAATTTGCCCAATTTTACATGTTCAGATATATCTATAGCTAATTCTAGGTGAATGGCTTACTAAGACAAAATGTGATTTGTAAAAAATAAATTGCTTTACATTTATTAAATGTATTTAACCCGGCTTTTGATTTTCCCCTTTCTGAAATGGTTAAACTCATCTAAAAATGAAAAACCCAGTTGACTCCGAATAAAATATTTAAGATTTAAGAACTACTTTAATCTTTTTGGTAACAAACAAATGCTTTATGGTTGATATGCATAACATTTAGTTACCCTTTTGATGATAAAACCTAGTCATAGATACCTTTAAAAAAATGGTTTCCTTTATGGGGAAACTCCTAATTTTCTTTTCTGGGTTTTGTTTTTTATTAATTTTTTTGCCGGTGTTGTTTATTGTTACAGAATCCCATCATTGCTCTATATTTTCTTTTTCCGTTTTTTCGATTGGGGCATTTATGTGTTGGTGAATGTATTTATAATTTTAGCACCCTTATATGTATCATTTTGTGGATAGCGCCCCTTTCCAGAAAGAGCAAAATCCTTAAATGATATCAACATATTATCTTAGGAGCATCCAACCTCGTTAAAACCATATTATTTATTATATAGAAATTAATATGTTCTTGGTCGTTATTGTAATATTTACCATTTTTCTGCCCTCTTCCAAGCGAGATGTCATTGAAAAACCACTCTTCGTTTAAATTGTTCCCCTGAAGCTCTTTGTTTGGTAATTTTATATGAACACCAGTGGGAATCAGCTTAAAGGTGTAGAGGCTCTTTCCCATTTAGCCAAAGAAATTTCCCGTGAATTAAACAAAACCATTGGGGACCATTTTCGACTTTCTTGTCACGTATTTGCCCATGTTTCTATTTTTTTGTATGTATATATTGATGCTTTGTCAATGGCTCTTTTTAGGGCTCTTTAGTTGCAAATAAAAAAATTCTTCTTCTTTTCTATAGTTGGTCAATGAACAAAATTACCCTTACATTTGTTACTAGAAAAGCATTTGATGCGTTCAAAAAAACCTAAAATAGAATTTTATTTGTAGGAACAGATTACTATGGTGGCTGATTTGTGCCATTTCGCGTTTTCGCCCCGCGACCCCGCCAAGCGAAAAGTCGAGAGTTAACAAGGGTTAAAATGGCGGGGGGCGCGGGAGCGAAACACGCTAATTAGCGTGGGCGGGCGAAAAGTCCGAGGGGGGGGGGTTTTAATTGTTAAAACGCCGGGGCGCGAAGCGGAAATAGTTATTTTTCAGGGCGCTTATTAGCGTTGTGTTGTCCGCGTCCCCCCGGCCAATTATTCTTACAAAATCTCGACTTTTTCGCCCTTCGCGTCCCCGCCGTTTTATTTTCTTAAATCTCGTTCCCGCGACCCCGCGGCGGGGCGAATTTTTTTACTTAAATCTTCGCCCGCGCCCCCCGCTAATTTATGCGTGTTTTCGCTCCGCGTCCCCGCCGTTTTATTTCTTAAATCTCGTCCTGCGACCCCCGGGCGAAGTTTTTTCCTTAAATCTCGCCCCGCGGGCCCCCGCTAATTAGCGTGTTTTTCGCCCCCGCCCCCGCCGTTTTTATTTCATAAAACTCGTCCCGCGACCCCGCGGGGCGAAGTTTTTGTATCTTTTAAAATCTCCGGCCCCGCGCCCCCGCTAAATTTAGCGTGTTTTTTCGCCCCGCGCCCCCGCCGTTTTATTTCTTTAAATCTCGTTTCCCGCGACCCCGCGGCGCGAAGTTTTATTTCTTTAATTTTTCTTCTTCCGGTTTTTTGTTGGGCATGCGCAGTTTGTTTTTACACAGTGTGTTAAACACACAGGCATAGGTCGATGCACTCGGGAATATTGAACAAAGGTATAAAAAAAATATTCATTACAGTATAGATATCGATTCAATTTTGATTCACTTTTTCATTATTTTCTCTATTATTTGTAGTTAAGGTTTATTATAGGATCTAGTTTTGTTCTTCAGCGTTTTTCGTGTTTGCCAATACAACTGTTGTACTGGGCTTTCTAATGTCCCAACAAATTAAGGTGAATTCTGCTTTGTCAGCCATTTTTGTTTTCACTATGTGGGTCCAAAAGTGAAAGTGGCCTTAATTTCAATATAACAACAAAGCTCACCATTGTTATTATGATGAAAGCCATTTTGTCAAGGGCACTTTCCCAGTTCTAATGTTTTAAAGACTATTTTTTAAACCAAAAATAAAAAATGGATAACAATAAGAAAAATT